ACAGAGAGTGAGCCCTTGCCCTGAGTCTCAGGGACAATGTAGGGTGGACTTGAGCTCCTCGAGGTGCAGATCTGGTAGAAGTCCTCCCTCTGGTCCTCCAGCTAGGGGATCCTGGCTCAGGAGAACACCAAAGGAGAGGCCCTGGCTGGTTTCACAGCTGGGAGTCCCAGCCCAGAGAGTCCCCTGGCTCACTGTCCTTGGGTGAAGGACAGAGGTCAGTGGCTCGAGTTGTCAGGTACCCTGGTCAGGAGCACGGAGTCGCCCTGACACTCACGGGGCACTCAGGCCAGCTGGGGGTGGGAAGTGCGGGGCCCTGCCACCATGCTCCCATCCCGACTCGGCCCTTGGGGACCCCAGCCATGTCAGGAAATGTGGGCTTGGCGGGGAGTGCGCCAGGTCCTCTCCAGCCTGAAACCAGAGCCCAGGCAGCTCTTGGCAGGGCCTCCTGCTCAGGATTGAAGACTTTGGGTGTTGTTCTAATTTATGGGGCCACCTGAGCTGGGCTAAATGCCCCCCTCCGCATTTTCTCAGAGGCAAGTGCAGCTGGCCAAGCTCAGCCACATGCCTTTGACCTTCCAGGGGCCCGTCCAGCGATGTCCAGTCCCTGCTGTGCCAGCCTGGGCTGCATGCACCGGCAGCCACATCCATTCATGCACCCACCCCTGAGCCCTTCAAAGACTGTGGCGGGGGAGGGGCTGACACACAGGCCCCAGCAAGGGCGGGCCCAGGCCCCTCCCAGCACTCTCCAGCTGCCCGGTGCTGAACAGTGCAGCTATCTTCCCGTCCCCAGCAGGTGGGGCACGGATAGCACCACATCAGGACCTTGTTATGAGGTTTAAAGGCCTGTAAATTATAAATGCACGTATGACGGACACACAGTGTTAAGAAGGCTGCCAGTTTCCTAAGAAGTACTCGGTAAGTGTTAGCAAATACATTAAGTAAATAATAATTTTTAAAAAGGCCACTGAGATAGAGGGCCCGGGGCTCAGAGCGGAGCAGGCGTGCACATGGGTAGGCACAGAAGCTTGCCTGGGGAGTCTCGAGTGCATCAGGAGCAGCATGTGCAAAGGCCCTGGGATGGGAATGAGCTTGGTGTGTTCGAGGGCAGATTGCACCCAGCATGCCAGAGTGTGGAGTGAACAGCTAGGATGGGACTGGTGAGATGTGGGGAAGGGAAGCCGATGGCACCCTGAGTGCCCACTGCTGCAAACTGACTCAGAATCTCCTGGCCTTGGTTCTAATAATACTTTTTTTTAAAATAGATGAATCCTGCTGGGTGTGGCAGTGCACTGCTGTAATCCCAGCACTCGGGAGGCTGAGGCAGGAGAACTGCTGTGTGTCTGAGGCCAGCCTGGGCTACAAAGTGAGTTCAAGGCCAGCTTGAGCTGCATAGCGAGACCCTGTCTCAACAAGACAAAAATACAGATAAATCCCCAGCACTCACATCAAGCAAGGGACAGAGAAGGTCTGGGCATGAGAGGAGCAGGACTGAAGCTCTCCTAGCTCCCCTCTACGGCCGGTGCCTTCTGCTGAAGGCCCTGTTTGCCCAGTGCTTTCCAGTACCCAAGTCTAGGATTCTGTCCTGTCCCTTTGCGGGTCTTCTGCCCGAGCGTGCAGAACGGTGCCCTACAGGGAACGCGCCTGTCAGCCTCTGCCTTTGGGAATGGAATGCTGGGAAGGGGAAAAGGGCACCCCCACTTGCCATCTGCTGACACCCTAGAGGAGTAGAGCTGCCTGTGGCTAAGGGGCTCACGGGAGAGTGTGGCCCGGTGTCCCACACCAGACCTGGGACAAGTGCGCTGGGAACCCCGGACGGATCACCCTAACTACCAGCACCTTCTCTAGGGAAAATCCTACTTCCTTCTTCCTGTGCATAGACACAGAGCTTACTGGAGACTCATAGAATGTGGCTGGGTCAGGGCAGATATCCCCAAGCTTCCTGGTTTTCTGGGAAAGCATGGGTGGCCCAGAGCACCCCCTCCTATGGTGGCCAGGATGACCCTTTGTAGGGCAGCAAAGTGGCTGACTGTCCACCACTATGACTAACGGTTCAGCCTCTACCGGCAAAAGCTCCTGGCTTGTGTTTTGTGATTGACCCTCAGCCGGGTCAACGGAAGCTCAGAGAGGTAAAGGGAGGTGCTTGAGGTCACACAGCAAGTGGATGGAAGCCCAGTGTGGGTGATCACAATCCTGCTGCTTGCCCGCTGCCCTGCCAGCTTCTCAGCCTGAGAGCAGCCTGTACTCCCAGCACCACTGCATCCCCGGAGGAGGGAGAGGAGGAGGAGGAGTTGACTGACCAATAGGGCAGCCCCTGATGGACTCCCCCAAGGTCTGTGGCCAGGACTGGAAGGCCCTTCTGGCACCTGGAGGGCAGAACCTGCACCAGATCCAGCTGGGAGGGCTGGACGGGATGGAGAGGGCAGGGCTGCATGGCGATGGGTGGACGTGGACAGGGGCACGCAGGTCCCCCCTGGACAAACACTTGGTCTCTCTGAGGCTCACTTTCCCATCTACAAACTGGGATGGCCCCAGCCCAGTGTCTCCAGGGTCTGTGGCAGGAGGAAGAGAGATGCTCACGGTGCCTCCTGCTGTCATCAGCCCAGCGGACCCTCGTGTCCCTGCAGGTACCAGAAAAGACACTGGCGACAGCCTGAGAACTGGCCTCGCTCCCTAGAGGAGGCTGCCTCCTCCCAGCCCTGCAGATCTCAGCGGGTGGCAACTCTGCTCTCTTGCAGGGACACTGACACTGCCTGGGACGCTGTTGATTGTCACAACCAGGGGACTGGTATGGGCATCTGGTGAGCAGAGGCCAGGGATGCCTCTAAACATCTATGACATACAGGACTGCTCTCGCCACAAAGCCCATCTGGCCTCCAGGGCACTAGGTCTGAAACTGAGAAACCCTGCTCCAAACTGAGCGGGGAGGTGCATGCCTGTAATCCCAGCACTCAGGAGGCTGAGGCAGGAAGATCACTGTGAGGTCGAGGCCAGCCTGGGGTACATGGCAAGACCTCGTCTCAAAACAAAACAAAATCTGGAGCCCTGCTCCAGATTCGTGGTGTGACCTGGATGGTGGCTGCCAGCCCACGCAGCTGAGTGTGTGCAGAGCCCAGCGTACTCTGAGCCGTGCTGCGAGTGTAACACGTTGGGTTTCAAAAACTACACATGAAACCAGAAGGCAAACTGTCTCATTAAGAATCTGCATACTGGTTATGCATTCAGATACACTAGGTTAACTGGGGATTTAGCTCAGCAGAGTCAGTGCCTCCTTACTCTGAGAAGTCATGAGACACTGGTTAAAAAAAAAAAAGATGGACAATAAATAAAATATATTATGGAAACTAATTGTACTTATTTATTTTGACTTTTAAGAAAATGTGGACTCTCAGAATATTGACAGTGACACTGAAGTCTGTGTTTGATTTCCTTGGGACAGTGGTGGCCCAGCCTCTGATGCCTTGGGCCAGAAACGACCTCAGGATGGGGGGTGGGGAGGGTGTCGGGTCCTATGACTGTGGTTGTGACTCCAGGAAGGGCAAAGGAAACTGGCACACCTCCGCCCCGCCCCACGCCACCCGCTACCGGCCTGCGCCTCTCTGTGCGGGCAGGGGTCCGTGCACAGAGTTCTTTGTCACCCCCCAACACCCCCAGCCTTCCAGGCAACAGCAAAAGTGACTCGGCAAACAAACAAGGGGGTTTGGTGACAGCTGTGGCTTAGAGACCTGAGCACCTGGCTCCCACCCCGCTCCCTGATGGTGCCCAGTTCAGAGCCACTGGTGCCAAGAACTCTCTTTCCTGCTCTGCTGAGGCACTCAGTGATCACCGGCCTGAGGTTTACACTCGGAACCACTGAGGCCCAGGCAGAGGGTGGGACCCAGGTCAGGGGCAGGGCTGCAGAGAGAGGTCCTGAGGTTGGATGGGGTCCAAGATGTGAGTGTCTGCTGTGGAGGTGTCCGGGGGTGCCTGGGCAGGAGGCCAGGACAGCCAGGGCCACAGAGACGGAAGGAACGAATGCACTGGGGAGGGGATGGGGGAGACAAGGAGTGGGCTTTGGTGCTCCAGGTGGCAGAATGCAGGGTGATGAGGCACAGAGAGGCCAGGGGACCCAAGATCACAGGGTCCCATGTGCTTGCCCCGAACCCGCCCCCCAGTGACTGGGGCCTTGACGAATACTTGTTATAAGGGCTGCAGGCGAAACCCCAGCAAGATGCACCCTGCACCCCACCACCGGCTACACCTTCCCAAGGCCCCGTCCACACAGCAGGGGGCCTTGTCCTTGGGGTCCTATCCTATCCCTCTGTTTCAGAAATCCTGCACTCAGGAGTTTGTGGTCAGAGAGGCGGGAAGGAGACAGGATCCTGGAGCTGGGGTGCTCCCACAGGCCCCGCCCCTGCACCCAGAATCTCAGGCCCTCAGCCCGTGGAAGGTGGTCCCCCTCTGGCCCCAAAATGAAGTCAGGGATGGCATCCAGGGACACGGAGACAGGGACAGTGCTTGGGGACGGGCAGCCACCCACAGCCCAGGGAGGGTGAAATTGGAACCTTAACCACCCTAGGAGCCAGATTCGGCCCTGGGGCAGCGCCCTCGTGGTCCTGCCCCAGCAAAGTTCCAGAGGGTTCTGCTGAGTGGGAAGCCTGGGAGCTGGGTTGGGGTGGGTTGAGTCAGGAGGGCTGAAGGGAAGTGGTGGTGGGGAAAAGCAGGGGTGCTAAGGTCCCCTGGAAAGGGGCGGAGAGGGTCAGAGGGTGGAGGAAGTGGAGGGCCTTGGAGGGGGTTCGGGAGGGACCTGCGGTGCAGTCCGTGTCTGCACCGGAGGGGCTAGGATTTCAGGAATCTGAAATCCAAGGTTTGGGGCCGCCCAAGTTTCTGCGCGAGGTTCTTAGGATTTCTGGGAGCCTCCAGTGCAGGGTCAGAAGCCGGGCTGCCCACGTCCCCGAGTCGGGGGAGGGGCGGTTGAGCCCTTGGTGAAGGGGTCCCTGGGCGGACGCGGTGGCCCAGCTCACCTGTACACATCTGTCCAGAGCTGCGTGCCCAGCACGTACACCGCCTCCACGCGGGTCCCGAACTGTAGCCGCACCGTCCGCTCGCTCAGCATCTTCCGTCCGCAGCGTCCAGCCTGGGACCCGCGTCTCCTCCGGCAGCCCCAGCACCTGTGGCAGGTGAGCTCGCGGCAGCAGCCTGCGTCTGTCGGGACCTCGCTGGCTGCCTTATCCCGCCGCTGGGGGGCGTGGCGTGGGCGTGGCGTCAACCAGGCTTCTTTCCCATTGGGTCCAGTGAGGCCCCGCCCACAGTTCGCCCCACCCCTTTGCTGAGATCCGGGTGAAGTCATCAAATAGGCAGTTCTTCGCACTTTTGGCTTGTTCTTTGTTTCGTTCAACAAACCCTGTCTCTCCTCCAGATCCCCCAGCTTGTGGGTTAGAAAATGCAACGTGGAGCTGCTAGAGGGACAGGACAGGAGTTGGTGGGAGCGCAGAGGGGTCCAGGAAGTCTCGTCATAGGAGGGACGCCTGAGCCCATGTTTGTGTGTGTACTGAGGATTGAATTTAGGTCCTTTGCACGGAGCTACCTGCCCAACCCTTTCTAAATTTAAAAATTTTGAGATATGGTCTTGCTAAATAGCTATGATATCCAGTACAGGGCTACAATTTGTGATCCTCCTGCCTCAGCCTCCTAGAGTGATTGGACCACAGGTGTGCACTGTGGCACCAGGCTGCCTCTGCCTTCTTGTTAGAGGTATTTGCAGACTCAGGGGGAGGAGAGGCAGCCTCCTGACCAAAAGCAGACAGCCTGACATCCCTACCCTCCCCGCTGGGTCAACATCGGCATAGGGAAACTGGGGCATGGGCTTGGAGCGGGGAAGTCAGCAGCTGACAGGGCCCAATGCCAGCCCAGGCGCGGGTGGGTGGAGGGTGGGAGCCTTGGGTGATTCCTGGGGAGGAGGACAATGGCCCACTGGCTGCCTTCCGGCCCTGGTGAGGAGGCCCAGGGGTGGGGCAGTGCAGACCCTGCAGAGCGTGAGAGGGCTGCAGAGGAGGGGATTGATCTGGACAGTGTTTATGGGCTGAGATCTGTGTGGCACCCGGTGGCTGACGCCATGTGCCAGTGGAGGAGACGGGGAGGGGCAGAGATTAGGGTCCTGGGCCTGGAGCAAGTCACCAAGGGAAGGGAGTGCCACTGTGGAGGTCAGTCCGTATTCTGAGCAAGCCAAGATGTGTGGGTGACATTCTGGGGGCCTGAGCCACCCCTTCCCCGCCTCTGCCCCTTCTCCCACCCAGGCCCCTGGGAACTAGTGAGAGGTCTTTCTGGGTGGGAGACCTGGAGGCCAGGAGGGCTAAGAGAAGCTGTTCAGGAGGGCCACGGGGTCCTAGGAAGGGGTGCACCTGGACCCAGCTGGGCGGGCGTGTAACTCTGGTAGAGTGCTTGCTTAGCATGTGGGAGGTCCTGGGTTTGATCCTAATCACTGCCAAAAATAAAGGACCAATTTGAAATCATGTAGATTCTTTTTTTTTTTTTTTGGTGGTACTGGGGATCGAACTCATGACCTTACACTTGCCAGGAAGGCGCTTATGCCACTGAGCTAAATTCACAGCCCCCAAACCATGTAGATTCGTAATAAAAGTAAAAAACAAGGTGGCCAGAGCACACCCAGACCCTGAGCCCAGCCTTCTCCCCAAAGGCTCAAATTAGGAGGCAGAAAAGAGCCTTGCTGCTTCCGAGGGTGTGTAGAGCCCAAGTCCAGCCTGCCCCTACACCCTAGCACCTCAGGAGGGCCTTGAGAGGTGCATCCTCCAATGGGAGCTGATTTTGATGCTCACAGAGTTGACTCAGGCCCAGGCACCCTCCGTCCTGAGCTCCTTTTGAGGCCTCACAGTGTGTAGCAGACATTGGACGCATGCCAGTGTGCCCATTTTTCTGGGGGACATAGAATGCCACTGGTCCATTTCACCCATGGGACCCTGGGGTTCTGAGGGGACAGAGGAGGACATCGCTGGTCCACACTGAGCCCGTCAGAGGCAGGTGTGACATGATCCACACAGTGGTGACATTCGGCAAAGCGTGACTCCCAGCAGAGAAACAGTGGGTGCCTCCCAGTGACCCCACACTCTACAAACAAAGACAGACAGTGGAGAGGGTACAGGAGTCTGGGTTGCACAGCTCCTGAGAGCCTCGGAGCAGGGATGGGGGCTTGCAGGCCATCGGGCTGATGCCAGGGCAAGGTCCTCTCAGCCTTGCTCTGGGGAGGCCGTGAGCAGGCAAATGACCTGTCTCTCAGCAAGATGTCAACAAGAATGAGACGATGATACACAGAAATGAAACCCTCTCCCCTTAAACAGTCCAGTCCCCACCGGCCACCCACGTGCGGGGTAGCTGCCCTGTCTCTGGCTCACCCTGCTGGGCGCAGAGCCTGCTGGATGGACTAGGAGTTTCTTAGTGCTCAAGGGTTTAAAATAGCTGAAGTGGTCACAGCTGTCACTGGATTCAGGGCCGGAGGTCGCATGCATCGAAGCCGCTCCTGCTGCTCCCCCAGGGGCCTGGGAGATCCGCGAGGATCCAACAGTACCTGGAGCAGGAAGCCAGCAAAGGGCAGCCTTGGCTCGGCCAGCTCCTGGCACTGGCCGATCCATAGCCCCAGCAGCTTCCGCCCTGCCAAGCAGTGGCCGGAGCTCCGGGCTGGGGGCAGGGTCCTCTGTGCTGATCCTTCTCTGGGTGGGGGTCTCACGGGGCCAGGCCTGGGGGAGCCTGGCTGGAGTGTACACAAAGGTGCACGGCTGGCTCTGAGGACTCTCACCGAGCGTGCAAGAGTGTGAAAAGAAAGAAACACACAGCAATGCCTGGCCATTGTGGGGGCATGTGTGAAAAAGTGCACAATCCCCCAGGCCCAGCCGCCCTTCAGTCTGACCTCGCGGGCCTGCCCTGAGGCGGTGCATAGCTGCTGGGCATCCAGGCTTCCTGAGCCCCCAGCTGCCTCTGCTTTCCTGTCTTAGCTCATGAGGCCCCTAGGAGGAGGGTGCTGGGGTCAGCCCGGCTGGCACAGAGGCACAGAACCGCCTGATGGAGAGGAGCGGGGGCCTTTGGACGAGGCAGCCTGTGGTGTGTGTGGGGTCAGCTCTGGCTCCTCCGCTCCTAGCTGGGGACCTCTCTCTCTGTTTCTCTAGATTACAGACAGTAATGAAATGATGCCTGATGCACTGCCTGGTGCAGCATGGTCCGGCCCCCGCCAAGGCTCAGATGCACGTAGGCAGTCATTGGAAGCTTGTGCAGAGGGGGCTCCTGACGTTCTGTGCTATTTTATAACACACTTCAAAGCCTGTGCAATGTGAGAGGCGACCGGGCTGTGTGGCCGGGGGAACACAGAGCCCGGGGAGTCTGCAAAAGCCTTTTGGGCTTTGTCCTAAGATCACTGGAAGCCATAGAAGGACTCTGGAACGGGGTGATGACACGATGCGTGCTTTAGGATGACCGCGCTGGACTGCTGTGGGGAGGCAAGTATGGCAGGAATTCTGGCAGGGACAGAGTGGCCAGGCAGCGGGGCCTGCGCCTTCCCCACCTGCGGTGCCAAGGGGGGCCCGCAGGGCTGTCCTCAGGAGCAGCAGCCACACACAGCCTAGCTGCCCTCCCTCCTGTCCTCTGCAGAGCCCACCTTCTGCTCCCAGCCCCTGGGGAGGCATCTCCGGCCAGGGGGAAGGGGGCACTGATTCCACTTATGCTGCTCAGCCCCCCAACCCGCAAGACATTTCCCAGGCCGGGACATCTGGGTGTCCCATCACTCAGATACACGGAGGACAAGGAAGGAAGACGCGGCTCTTCTCTGCTCCGTCTGGTCCTACACCACCTGGAAGGATGAGAAACAGGAGGAGGAGGGGGAGGAGGAAGGGGGAGGGGAAGGGGAGGGGGAGGGGAAGGGGGAGGGGAAGGGGAGGGGGAAGAAGGGGGAGGAGGAAGGGGGAGGGGGGGGAAGGGGGAGGGCGGAGGGGGAAGGGGGAGGGGGAGGGGGAGGAAGGGGGAGGGCGGAGGGGGAAGGGGAGGGGGAGGGGAGGAAGGGGGAGGAGCGGCGGGAGGAGGAGAGATGTAGTTTCATGCACTGGCTCCCATGATTGCGGGCTTGGAGGTCTAGATGTCCAGGTAGAGTGGATATTGCATTTGTTTTAAATTAAGAATTACAAAATTTTATTTCTTTAAAATCACCTTTACCACAGTTTAAAATCTGGAGAAGCTCTTTTCCCATCCAAAGACTTCATAAGTATTGGTACAGGGGCGAGTGGGTCATTTGAAAAGGACGTGTTGAAAAGGGTCAGACATGATTCCTGTGGGCATTTGTCCACCATCCAAGACGCGGTGAACTCTTCAGGCAGCCAGGGTTGGTTAGGTCACCGCACGGTCCAGAACTGATAGTTTAAATCTCTCTACATAACAGGGAGAAGTCAAAGTTTTATGGCTCCACAAAGCACAACTGCCCGAAGACGACTCCTGGAGGGTTGCTGGGTGTCCAGTGTCACCTGACAGCGACGCATCCGCCCCGTCCCCTCGCACGGATGGTGTATCCCGGGTCTTCATCACAGCGCTTACGGAGCACGTTAGGGGGACGTGCAGAGTAAAATGGAAAAGCACTCGATCACATGGAATTACAGGGTCAAAGAAAGCACCTAATGGTGGCCCATAAACCTCCATGACACAGAAAGTTAGAAATAAGTGAAGTCAAAGAAGTCAGGATGTGTGACAGAGACAGGGCAGCCACGGCCCAAAGTAAGCGCTGGGGCTGGAGTTGGAGGTTATTCACGGGAGCCACGTGGTGGTGCGGCTTACTATCAAGTCAGAGCACACAAGTCAGCTTGAAAGGCTCAGGGAGCTCTCGGGACACGCTCGAGATCTTCAGCATGGCTTCTGATCTCAGCGCAAGGGGTCACTGGAAGCAGGAAGAAGACGCTGCACTGTTGAGTCCAAAATCTGCAGGCGGGAAACTCTGGGTTCCTATTGCTCTTGACAAGAACTGTTTCTTGGTCGGGAACCCTCAGTCCTTGCTCTTAAGATCTTCAGCTGATTGGACGAGGCCCACCCACAGTTTGGAGGGCATTCTGTGTGATTCGACGTCCGCTGAATCAATATCAATCACATTGACAAATATCTACATAACTACAGCTAGCTGGTATTTAGCTAAATGGCTGAGCACTGTTTTGGATCAAGATATACCATAGCAGTGTGTAAAATATGCACAGATTTCAGAGTTGGTAGGATAAAAACAGACTGTTTTATTTATTTTTGCAGTGCTGGGGATGGAACTCTGGACTTTTCTCATGCTAGACAAATCTTTACCACTGAGCTACACTCACAGCCCAAGAATGCAATTTGTTTATTTATTTATACTTTTGAGACAGGGTCTCCCTGTGCAATTCAAGCTGGCCCTGAGCTCACTTTGTAGCCCAGGCTGGTCTTGAACTTGCAACGATCCTCCTGCCTCAGCTTCCTGAGTGCTGGGATTACAGGCGTGAGCCAACCATGCCCAGCTCCAAGAAGGTAATTTTAAAAAATATTGGTTACACGTTGAAAGAATATCTTAGACAACTTTGGCCAAATACAAATACTTTAAACTGGTTTACCTATTTATTTGCATTTCTTGGAAGATGCAGCTGCGGAGAAATCTAAGTTGCCCTTGAGGCAGGCGTTTCTGGCTTGCACGGTAGCTCTTTGGGAGGTGCTGCTTCTCTCCTTCAGACCTTCTGCTGGGACCCTGACCAGCTGGTTCTCGGTCATCTCTGCTGGTGGAGCTTGGTGGGCATAGAGATAAATACTTGGTGAAGTGAAGTTCTCTTGTTGCTGGGGGGATTCAGGTCCAGAAGCTATTATAGTGCACCTGAAAAAGAAAAGATGTTGTTCCTGTTCCCCTACTTCGTATCTTCCTGAGAGAACTAAAGGCATCATAGCACAGGGAGATATGCACACCCATGTTTATGGCAGCACAGTTTGTAACAGAGAAATCTTGGGCACAGGCCAAATGCCCATCCACCAATGAGTGGATAAAGAAGATATGCGATTTGTTAATACAGTGGAGTACTACTCTGCCATAAAGGAGGATAAGCTTGAGACTTTTCTAGAAAAATGGATGCACCTTGAGACCATACCCTTAAATGAGGTAAATTAAAGTCACATGTTGAAATACTAAATTGTTTTTCTGGTGTGAGAAACTGAAGGTGTAAATAAGAATTAAAATGTATAGTAGATACTGGGGAATAGGGAAAAAAGGTTCAAATGAGAAGGAGGGGCGCTAGGGAAGGGGAAAGGATGGAAGGGACAAGAAAAAAATAGAATAAAGGGAAAAGAGGAAATGAAGCTTTCGTAAATAAGGACAGGGGAAGGGGTTGAAAGGAGAGGAGGGCAATGGGAAAAAAGAAGCAATATATACCATGCAGAGGTACAAATTTCCTGGGTGAACGTTATCATTAAGTATGTTTAAAGTGTAACAGTAAAATTTAAAAGAAAACGAACCAGTTCTTCGGAAAGAAAGAAAAGAGTCAAAGGATGGAAGAGGCAATGGCCACCAGGTGGCGCTAGGTTCCCATTTTTGAATCAGGAGGAGGCTGGTTTTCTCGCCAGAAATGGTCCGAGCCTGCCTGATCCGAGGCTAGGATGTCTCCTGCCTCCGTCCAGCCTCGCCGGGCACCGCTTTTGCATTTGGGACTCTCTTTATCCTGGCGATTTGGGTCAAAATCCAGAGATTGTGTGAGGTCAGCAGTAGGTCCCCAAGAGTAGGGCAGAGTTTCCAGCAGGGGGCGCCGCTGACCAGGAATCCAGCACAGCATTTTAGGGTTCAAAGAAGGAAGGGTTCACTGTGATCAAGCTAAGGGGAGAGGGTAAGAGGGGAACAGGGATCTTGAAACCCAGCCAGACACGGCCAGAGAATCCTGGAGTCGAGGCTGGATTTGAATCCCAGTGCTGCCTGCACCATTCACTCTGTGCCTCGATTTCCCCATCTGTAAAACGTCGTGGTGAAGGTGTCTGTCCACTGACTGAGAAGAAGCCCAGTCACAGAGGGCGCTAGGGGTGGCGGCTGAGCCAGCCTGGTCTCCCGGGAGGAGAGGGTGACAGTGGCCTCTGGCCCATCTGAACCCCCCACCCCACCGCTGCAGGGTTTACAGCACCGTGAAGCTGACAGTGGGTGATGCCACTTAATTTCCACAGCTGCTGTGACATCACGCCAGCATGCAGTTTGGGTGCCCTAGAGGCTCCTGTGCTGAGACTAGATCGCAGGTTTCCTTTGGCTTACAAAATTTAATATTCAATTTACCATATCGCACATTTGACAATCGCCCGGAAGCTCTGAGTTCAGGTGAAAAAGCCTTTTATGCACCCACGCTGGGTGAGTCCAGCTATCCGAGGCATCCAGGGTAGTCAGGAGCAGCAAACAGAATCAAGATTGCTGCTGGGGGCTGAGGGGAGCGGGGATGATGGTATCCTTTCCTGAGTGTGGGGCTGTAACTTCCTGAAGCAAAAAGGTTTGGAGATTGTTTGCATAACGGCATGAATATATAAAACACGACTGAAATTTATATGTAAAAATGGTTAAGACAGCAAATTTTACCTTGTATGTATTTTATCCTAATGGAGGTATTTCCCTCCTCAGCCACTCAAGTAAACTACAGCTGTTTGACTGTGCCTCGCTAGGAAAAAAAAATTTTTTTAAATGAAAGTAACAATTTTTTAGCTGGGTGCAGAGGTGCAAGCCTGGGAGGCTGAGGCAGGAGGCTCATTGTGAGTTCAAGACCAGCCTGGGCTACAGAGTGAGCTCAAGGCTGGCCTGAACTGCATAGTGAGACTCTGTCTCAAAAAGGAAAAAAAAAAAAAAAAAAAAAAAAAAAAAAAAAAAAAAAAAAAAAGATTAGTGTATGTTGTCTCTTAAAAATGTGGGTCATTTTTAATTAACCTAATGATATCATCATTCTAAGCAAATGTTGGGGTTCCTCTCCCAAGCCATGTGGAGATTCCTAGCTCCTCTAAGGTCCCTGGATGTTGATAGAAACCTCAGGCTTGGAGGGAGTGGTTTCATAGCCTATTGGTCCAACCTGTCAAATCTCTGTTTCCTCAGTCAGACTTGGGGCCAGGAAATGACCTCCGTGGTTGGTGGCTTTCCCACTTTTTGGATCCAACTAGTGGAATCCCTGCTTGGTTCTGCTCCTAATTCTGCCCAGTGATCCCTTTATCTTTCAGGGAAACCCTGTTACAGACAGTTAAATGACACCCAAGTGAACCTCCACGGCTCTTGTCTGGCTCCTGGGGACAGTTCTAAACCTTCCTTAGTGACAGAGTCACAACCTAATAAGAGGTTTCAATAATGACAAAAAGTCACAGTCTGAGACACCAGGATACTGCACAGAAAACCTGGGGCGGGTGGAGGTGGCATCTGGGGTTGACTCCTCCTTTCTGTGGGGTCCTGGCTTCCCTGAGCACCCAGGCAAAAGGATCGCTCTTCTGCCTGGTTTATTCTCCTCTGTTTGTTACCAGATGAAAATATCTTACTAAGGCAAACAGAAACAAGACACCCAGCAGCACATGAATTTCAGATACACAATGAATGATTTTCCAAGGTCCCAAATGTCTCACAGGACACAAATTCAACTCATTGCTCACTTAAAATTCACATCTGCCTGGGCATCTTGTGGCTCATCTGGCAACCCTACTCACCCCTTCCCCCCTGCATCCTCGCCAGGGACCCCAGTGAGCATTCAGTCTGCCTGTGCACGGCAGCTGTTCTGTGAATGACTGAATGAGCCCATCAGTGAGTGAATTCAAGACCTGAGAGATGTTCAGGGTACCTGAGTGCGTGCCATGGGAAGGCAGCTTCTGGCTCTTCCCAAGAAGAGTTCTCAGCTGGGTGTGGCTGTGCATGGCTGTAGCTGTGATCGCTCTGGGCGGCTGGGACAGCAGGGTTGCAAGTTCAAGCCCAGGCTGGGCAACTTGGGGGCGGAACTGTTTCAGGACCGTGATCTCCCAGCTGTGTCCCTCTCTTGGCCCTTGCCGATCTGCCCCCTTCCCTCTGGAAGCATAGCGGGAGGAGGGTCTTCTGCATCGCCCTTATCTTCTATTTAAATTTTTTTAACTTTAATTTTTTAAAGATAAGGTCTCACTGTGTGGCCCAGACTGGTCTTGAACTCTTAGCAATCTTCCTGCCTCAGCCTCCCATGTGCTGGTGTTTGGAAAAACCAGGACCCAGTGGGCTGGAGGGCAGGCAGGCCTACGGGAGCTGGAAGGTGACTCTTTCATTATTATGCCAGGGGGCTGCGGGAAACTGAGTTCCAAATCACCAGCCCCCCCTCGGGGTTAAACGGACATTAATATATGTTTTAGGCAGCAAGTACAATGTTTTAGGCAGGCTGACGGCGGGCTATTTTAGAATTGGTTACACAGGCTGGGTCTTACGTTGTCAGGGAGACTTGCTCTGGGCTGAACGGGGTTTCTTAAGGTCAGGGGCTCGGGTGAGCCCGAAAAATCATCACCGTCTTTAGCTGAGCCGGTCTGTCCTTGAAGCAAGTTAGCACAACGCGGTGGACTTTCTGGCTGACTTGTGTCCATCTTACAAGTTGTGGCTGGCACGGGAATCCCCAGGGTGGCTGAGTCTAACTGGGCCGGGTCTGCCTACGCTTAACACACCGGCAGGGTATGGGTTTTAAAGTGTCCTTTATGCAGGATTTCACCTGCGGACCACCATGCCTGGCTTTTTTTAAATTCATTTTTTATTTACTGCCTTTAATCTGCTCCTGCAGCACAGGGCAATCGTGTGCACCCCTCCCTGGAGTCCCATCCCAGGGGAGCCTGACAGGCCAGGCGACAGAGTTGACCCTGTCCTCGCCCTCACCCAGAGACACTGGCCCAGCTCACTGCCTCTTCTTTCGAGGACGGAGAGATTCTCTCTGCAAAACAAGATGACCTTCCTTGGCCACAATTTCCTCCCTGGTCCCCATAATGTGTGACCTCACTTCCCCAGGAGCCCCCGGCTCGTTGGGGTTTTCTTGGTGCTCCCTGACTCTGGCTGGGTTTTGCCCCAGCTGGGTACAACCTGGACAGATTTCAGCATCTCGGGAGGCCCCGGCCTGGAAGGCTCTGAGGTGCCTCGGAGCCCTGATGTCTTCTGTTCTGTGCCACCGTGAGGTCGGGAGGTGGCAGCAGGAGCAGCACAAAGTGAGTCCCCAAGCCAGTGGGGTCCCTCTGGCGCCTTTCCCAGTGCCCGCTCTGGGCGTGGCCCTGGGGCCCCGGAGAGGAGCCAGGTGGGACCGAGCTGTGTCTCAGGAGTGTGTGTGGCCCTGGGGTTGGGAGAGGGACTTCCTATCTTCACAGGCATTTGTGAGCTCTGAAGAGGGCTGGGCTGCGTGGACCACTGTGTCCTCCAGCAGGCTGTGCCATGGACACCTGGTCTGAGCTGAGACGTGGCCGTGGGGCCTGGACTCTTGGGACCTTGTATGGGGTCAAAGCCTCAGCCTCTGCCCTGCTCAGCAGACCAGGCACCTGAGCATGCTAACCCTCCCATATTGCACACACATGTGTGCATACACGTGTTCCCCTCCCACCCAGCACACAGGAACACATGTGCTCACCCTAACACCCCTCCCTGTGCGCACAAGTGCAGGCCATCCCCCTCCCTGCCCGCTCTGCCCCAGATGGTAAGTGAGCGCTCCCTGTAGCCTGCCTGCCTCTCCACATGCCTGTCCCCAGCACAGGCCCTTCTCTGGTGAGGGACAGTGCCTGTGGGGGGCATGGACTTCTTCCTCTGCCCGGGGCTGTGCAAACAGGCTGCCCACAAGAGATTCCAGGCAGAGGGACTGAACAGGTGTGTGTGGGGGTCGTGGGCTCCAGGGCTGGGGTTTAGGTGTCCCCCAGGGAAAGGGGTGGCCGGGGCAGGTCAGGGTGAGGGGAGGAGATGTGGGGAGAGCGCTGGGCTCAGAGCTGCTCTCTCCCAGGATGGAGGCGTCTGTACAAATGGATGTGACCCTTCTCAGTGTTAATTCTCTTCACAGGTGAGGATATTTATATCATACTTTTAGGCATTTGGAGGGTGGTAAGAAGTTTTGCCTGCTTTTATGTTTTTTTTTTTTAAAGGTTTTTCTGCTGGTTTTCAATGGCCTTTAGCTCAAAATAATCCACGTGCCAGGGAGACATATTTTGGGGTGGCATC